TTATTCACCGCTCAGCTGGGCTCACATCTCTCCTCTTCTTTAGAGAGTCCCAGAGGAGGACTGTCAGAGGTCAGAGGTCACTGAGGGTCAGTGAGTCTGGCTCAGACATGATGTCTTCATCCACAGTGAGTAGGAGGATGATGATGATGATGAAGAGCATAGTGTGTGGGCGGAGCAGGAAGGATGTCTGCCAGGCGTGCTCCCAGGTGGTGCTTTGGTCTCATGCATATTAATGAGATGCAGGTTGTGTGGGCGGAGCCTGGGCCTCGGGAGGCTTCGGCTCAGATCTGCGTCGCTGACGTGTCAGCGTGAGATACCGAGAGTCCGAATCAGGGAGGAGCTCAGAGTCTCAGCTGACCCCCCAGCCTCGTTACGCTTTAACCCTCCCACCAAGGAGGGGAACCAATCCCTGCAGGAGGAATCGGCCAATCACACGTTAACCTTCACACCAAGCAGAACAGATGAGGATGGACAGAGGAAGCAGGTCGGCTACAAACGTATCAATACAACAGATCATAAATGAGGCTGAGTCACACAGGAAGTCATGTGACCGACTCTGAGCAGGTCGTTTAATGTTTATTGGATTTCAGTAACAACCCTGAAATTCAAACTAAGTCAGAGTTAAAGAAGATTAAAAATGCAGAGCACGCCTCGGAGTCAGCACGCCTCGGAGTCAGCACGCCTCGGAGTCAGCACGCCTCAGAGTCAGCACGCCCTTTAATGAAGAGAGCCCGAGACGTCACGCTCTGATTGGCTGGAGGACAGCAGGTCACCCTGAGACGTGTGCTCAGTCTTTACACCTGATCAGGTGGCTGTGTGCACCTGACCTGTGAGTGACATCACTTTAAATGATCCCAGTGACTGTGATAATAAAGGGCGTCGCTCACAGCTGATGGTGGCGTCGCTCAAGAGGCGGCAGCAGGTCCAGGTGAGCTCTTATTGGCACTCTGGTCCTCTCCCCGTCCTCACCGAGCTGCAGTGGCGCCTCTGTGATTTCCACGCTGCCAGCTCCAAACCTTCAAAATAAGAGGAGGAGCAGTCTGCCCACTGTGATCAGGGAAGCCTTTAACCCTCAGCTTCAACTCAACCTGCCAGGTGTGGAACTTCTTTAACCTCCTGTCCCTCGGGGCAGGTGGGTGTGGGCTGTGCTGGCTCAAGCAGCAGTGTCAGTCCTGGGTGGAGACGTCGCTGGATGCTGGTTGCTGGATGCTCTTCACTGCTGAAGTTCCTGCTCTGTTCCATTAGCTTCATTACATCTCCCCTGATTTATGCCATCCTCCCC